AAAAAAAAAAAAAAAAAAAAAAGAAAAAATCCCAAACAAATAAGAGGACACCTATCTGATGAATCAGGAAAAGTTTCACAGAAAGGATAACATTTATATTGGGCTGTAAAGAAGGAAAAATCTCCCATGCAGAAAATGAGAGAACAGCACAATGAAAGCGAAAGACATGACCTGAGGTCTTGTTAACGTGGTTAATATGTTAACTGGATCTTGAAAAGTCAAATGAAAATTAAAATCATCCTTCCCAAAATAATCTACTTGGAAACTCACAGACAAAATTTAATCACAGGAATAACTGCAATCACACTTTGGTCCATGGACTGACTCCAAGTAAAGAACTCCTGAATACGAGTAAACAGTTGAACTTGGGTAATGGGACTAACAAGGGGAGGACTGAAAAGTATGCTGAGACCAAGGTTGTGAAAACTTTTTACTACAAAACAAGAAATTTGGACAACACAGACAATTCTGGAGGTATTGTTTTTTTAAATAGAGATTTTCTATTAAGTCCTTACAACAATGAATTTGCATACAAAACATAAGTACTATTATCCATTTGCAAAAGAATTAAGGTTTAAAGAAAATTAACAAGATCACACAACTATTTCAATAGTGAAGCCAGTACATCCTATCTGACTCAGAGCCCTTGTACTCCATCACTAATCTATGAAAATGAAAATTTTTGTGTAGTATATACTTATTTTAACCATTAAAAATCTATGAAGTCGCCTTTTGGCTCTCTGAGCAGCACCATGGCGGTTGGCAAGAATAAGCGCCTTACGAAAGGCAGCAAAAAGGGAGCCGAGAAGAAAGTGGTTGATCCATTTTCTAAGAAAGATTGGTATGATGTGAAAGCACCCGCTATGTTCAATATAAGAAATATTGGAAAGACGCTAGTCACCAGGACTCAAGGAACCAAAATTGCATCTGATGGCCTCAAGGGTCGAGTGTTTGAAGTTAGTCTTGCTGATTTGCAGAATGATGAAGTTGCATTTAGGAAATTCAAGCTAATTACTGAAGATGTTCAGGGCAAAAACTGCCTAACTTCCATGGCATGGATCTTACCCGTGACAAAATGTGCTCCTGGTCAAAAAATGGCAGACAATGATTGAAGCTCATGTTGATGTCAAGACTACCGATGGTTACTTCCTTCGTCTGTTCTGTGTTGGTTTTACTAAAAAACGCAACAATCAGATACGGAAGACCTCTTATGCTCAGCACCAACAGGTCCGCCAAATCCAGAAGAAGATGATGGAAATCATGACCCGAGAGGTGCAGACAAATGACTTGAAAGAAGTGGTCAATAAATTGATTCCAGACAGCATTGGAAAAGACATAGAAAAGGCTTGCCAATCTATTTATCCTCTCCATGATGTCTTCATTAGAAAAGTAAAAATGCTGAAGAAGCCCAAGTTTGAATTGGGAAAACTCATGGAGCTTCATGGTGAAGGCAGTGGTTCTGGAAAAGCCACTGGGGATGACACAGGTGCTAAAGTTGAACGAGCTGATGGAAATGAACCACCAGTCCAAGAATCTGTTTAAAGTTCAGACTTATAATAGTGGCAAATAAAAAGTCTTATTTGTGGGAAAAAAAAAAAAATCTATGAAGTCACTGTTAGTCTTGAACCTAAAAGTGTCTCAATAAACATGGTTTATCATAAAATTACTTTGCCTAGTATTCTCAAAGTGTAATCATATAATCACCCAATAATTTCAATTTTGATAATGCAGTTTACTAAAAAAAAAGTCTTCAAATTTTGTGTTACAAATAGACATGCCAATTGCAAAACTTAAGGAACCTGGGTCCCCAAAATACAACAAAAACTTGAGAAGACATCATCAGTTTTTCCGGAAAATAAAGAAAGACTGTTTTCTAAAGTTAATCTTATCCACACTGCCTGGCAGTGGTTTCAGAAAAGGAACTGAAGGAAAGAGAAAAAACAAACCACATCCCATAGTTACTTAATACAAATTTTCACTAAATACAATTTGACCTAAGTATCATTTTCTTAGTAACTATTACTTTTAGAGTTTCATTTTATCATCTTCAAAAACTTATGAAAATTGAAAATATGCCCAGCAGGAGACAAGCTTCTCTATTCACTCATATGTTAGTTTATTTCTTGATTTGGTACAACTCCAAAGACAGAGCCATTTCTTTTAAGTGCTGCAAGAGTTGGAGAGAATATGGTCCCAGCATGTTGCAAAAGGGATCTATGTTGTACAATCTAAGTCTCTAGGGCAACATTTCTAACTAAATAACTGATGAAAATACATTTGTAGTATGAAACATCCTATAAGCAAGGGTCAGGCCTTTATAATAATGTAAAAATACCTACTACCTATCTTTATATATTATGTGCTCCTCTCCTAGAGTGCAAGAATCCTGTCTTAGGTTTCCATCTTCAGAACTGTCATACAATCAGTGTTCCTTAAGTGGATGAACATATCTTATTCTTCCTTTCAGATGTGAAACCAAGAGCTTGTCAACAAACTTTATTGATGGTGAAAATTTACCTGCTTCTTCATACAATTTTTACTATTTCTGTATCTTGTCATCAAGGACACAGTTGATTTTATCTGTACTGGGAAAAATGTGTCAAAAATATTACAAATTTTGTGAAGACTTGTACACAAACTTTCTATTCTACTGTTTGTATAAAGCATTATAAGGAGATAAAGGTCAGAAAACAAGATATAGTTTTGCAGACATGGTTGCCCAAGGTTATTAGCTAAGAAGTGGTAAAGTTACAATCAAGACCCAGCTAACTCCCAATCTCATGTGCTTTCTATTACAATACAGTTTTACAGGAATACCTGTTCTTAATTCATTTATTAGTCTAGAAAACATTTTTTGGAAAAATTTTAGGAAAAAAAAAAAAACTTCATAGAAAAGACTAATTACACATGCTTTATTTTAAAAATTCTTCTGGGCCATCACATCTCTGATGTCACTAAGACTCAAAACATTAAAATATCACATTAAATAAAACCGCAGTTGCATGCACTGGACATAAAGCAGAATACATATATATGTGATCCTTTGACAAGCTTCATTCTGACTGCTTACATTCATTCTTGTCATCTTTCCAAGGAGACAACTCAAGCTTAGAAGCCTTACCGAAAACCCACAGTTGTTTTCCTGCACCACCCACCTCCTTCAATTAGTTTCCCCTTCTCCATACCATTCTGTGTCCTTACCAATCTCTACCTTTGGCACTGGGATGCTTTCCCCACCCCAGACCTTCACGTGACTCGTTTTCATTCTTGCAGCCTAGAGGGTCTACTATCTAAAGTGGCCTCTCCCAGTTACTGCTTCCTAAGCACATATTACAATTTATAATTAACCTTTTTACTTATTTTTACTAGCAAATTGTCTTTCCCATCAGGATATCCCATGAGGGCTCTCTCCACACCATTGTCTCTACAACACCTTCTTTTCCATCATTACCAAAACCGCACTGGAAATACTGCCATTTCTACCACCTCCCATAAGTAAGTTCATCAAGGCTAAGTGGTGTCTTATTCATGTTTCCCCAGCACTTGGTAAAGTCCCTGGCCCATCCTAGGAAGTCAGTAAAAATTTGTAAAATAAATTAGCTTGCTAAACAAGGATTACTACTAAGGAAGCAGAGAACACCACCACATTAACATTTAATAGTACAGGGCAACATTGCAGGTTGTACACACAAACACTGGAGTGGTACAATGTACGGAAAAGAGTAGTAAGGGCAAAATTCCATTTAAAGGGATGAGGTGCTTTCTGCCTCGGCAGAGAGAGAGAAGAGCAATCAAGCAAGCTAACTTTTATTCTACTCCGGACCAACAGAACACATTGGCCCCCAAAATTTTTATTGTAGAGGGCCGCGATTTATTCAGCACACTCGACTACTTATTAAGACTCCAAGTACCAACATACTACGATTATTTTGCATTTTCTAAGGTACAACAGATAAGGAGCAGAGGGGTGCCTCTGAAACCTGATAGAACAAACATGGAAGTAGAAATAATAATGGCAAATATTTATATTTGTAAAAGACTTGAAAACATACAGAAAGATTTCAGAGTGGTCATGGAGACTAAACACAACACACTCATAAATATGTAATCATAGGTTAGGACCCACCATGGCACAGAAGTGATCATACGACTGCCAAAAGAGGCCACACTACATCTCTCTTCCCATCCTCTTCTACTCAAAGAGTCAGTCTTATTCTTGGTAGCACAATCGTCTCAAAGGAATACAGAAAAGACGAAAATACGACTTAAACGTTAAAAAAAAAAAAAAAAAAGCAAAAACCAAACAACCAACCAGCTCTGCAATACCTCATGAGAAAGCCCTAGACGCCTTTCGAGGCCAACTGTCACACCTTTGAGAAGCCCAGAAGATGTTAACTCCAAAAATAAGTCTCTGGCCCCAACACACCTCTCTGGATTATTCAGAAAAATCCAGGTTTACCAGTTTGGAGATATGCACTCAACTCAAAAAAGGATGTGCCGGCAGGGACAAGCAATCAATCCCTCAGGGGGCAGTGGCGCTCCAACCACCTGGCCAGGACACAGGCAACGGCGACAGGGCACAGCCCTTCCAGGGACCCGCCGGAACCCTCCGGGATCTCAGTAAGGCTAAGAGCGACCCGCCCCAAGGGTGGCCAAAGTCGGACAGTGGCGGAGGGGGGCCAGCGGTAGAGCTTCGGAGCTGGGCCTTCCCGGCCCGGGGGCGCGGCAAGTCACAGAGGTGGCGCCTTTCAGTCCGGACCCGGCTGCTGCAGAGGATCCAGGGCCTCTTTCCCCGACTTCCCCACCCCGCCGCCCTCATCCAGCCAGTCAGCCCCTCACCTGGCAGAAGCTCCGGCAGTAGTTCAAAGATGAAACCTCCGACACCTCTTGCTCCCTCAGCTCTGTCTCCAGCTGCCACAGACACGGCCGCAGTCCCGAGGCTCCCGGCGCTGGAGATGCGGGGCGATGACCCCGAACCATGGACTCAGTATCGGCTCCATCTCCGGCTCCCGCTACCGCCGGAGCCTCAGCCCCAGCCCCGGCGACAGCGGCGGCGTCTCCCTTTCCGTCCGCCATCTTCCCACGGCCCACCAGCGCGTAGGCAACCAAGCCACGTGACTCAGCCCTGGCCCCGCCCCCGGCCGCCCGCGCACGGTGACGCACTCCCTAGCGACACGGGCGCCAGCCTGATTCCGTCACACGGACGCCGGGTGCCCCTCCTTTCAGTGGCCTACGCATTACCAGTCTTGACAACAGCCTAGCAACAACTGGCAAGAGGCTATGCCCACCTAGATTCCTTTGGGGTCATGGGATCACAGAGCCAGAAACGCCTATAGAGCAATCTAGATGAGGAGGACGACATTGGAACTGCGATCTGAAGGGACCAGAGGAAGGTAGCCCTGAAAGAAACACAGAGAAAGGCATCCCTGGTAGAAGGAAAATAAGCAAAGATTGTGAGGCCGAAATGAAGAGTAACATCAAGGGAACTTGGTTTATGATAAAGACGGCATTGTTTCCAAAAGGGAAATAATTAGATTTTACCTCAAACCATATCCAAAAATAAAGCCGAGATGGATTAAAGACCTCAAAACATTTTCAGAAAATGAAAATAGCTTTATAATATCAAAAATAGGGAGGATTTTTGTTTTTTTTCCCCCGAGACGGAGTTTCACTCTTGTTGCCCAGGCTGGAATGCAATGGCGAGTTCTCGGCTCTCCTCAACCTCCGCCTCCCGGGTTCAAGCGGTTCTTCTGCCTCAGCCTTCCGAGTAGCTGGGATTACAGGCATGCACCACCACATCTGGCTAATTTTTTATTTTAGTAGAGACGGGGTTTCTCCATGTTGACCAGGCTGGTCTGGAACTCCTGACCTCAGGTGATCCGCCCACCTCGGCCTCCCAAAGTGCTGGGATTACAGGCGTGAGAGTCAACGCGCCCCCGCTAAGAATTATCTTGGTAAGGGCGGAAAAGCACAAACCATAAGGGAAAATATTTAGATTTGACTATATTAAAATGTGTTACTTAGGTGTAACAAGTTCAAAAAGATGGCACACAAAGACAAGCCGCAGATTAGATTACATTCCCCATAGATATAACCATTGTTTATTGCTTATTGTTGTTTTTTGAGACAGTCTTGCTTTGTCACCCAGACTGGAGTGTAGTGGCGCCATTTAGGCTTACTGCAACCTCTGCCTCCCAGGTTCAAGCGATTCTCGTGCCTCAGCTTCCCAAAGTAGCTGGCACTATAAGCGTCTGCCACCACGCCCGGCTAATTTTTGTATTTTTAGTAGAGGCGGGGTTTTACTGTGTTGGCCAGGCTGGTCTCGAACTCCTGGCCCCAAGTGATCCGTCTGCCTCAGTCTCCCAAAGTGCTGGGATTATAGGCATGAGCCACTGTGCGTGGCCATAACCATTGTTTTAATTAGTATCCAAAACAGTTCCCAAAATCGAAAAAGGCAAACAATCCAATAGAAGAGTAGATAAAAAGCTGGAGATGGTGGCTCATGCCTGTAATCCCAGCACTTGGGAGGCCAAGGTGGGAGGATTGCTTGAGTCCAGGAGTTCATGACCAGCCTGGGCAACATAGTGAAATCTTGTGTCTACAAAAAATGAAGACAAAATTAGCCAGGTGTGATGGCATGCGCCTCTAGTCCCACCTTCATAGGAGGCTGAGGTGGGAGGATTGCTTGAGCCCTGGAAATCAAGGCTGTGGTACAGTGACCTGAGGTGGCACCACTGCTTTCCAGCCTGAGCAACACTCAAAAAAAAAAAAAAAAAAAAAAAAAAAAAAAAAAAAGAGAAAGAAAAGTAGGTAAACAGGAAGTTCACCAAAAAAGAAAACTGAATGGCCAATAAACCCAAGGAAAAATAGATAACTTCACTATAACAAAGCACAAGTAAAAAAAACGAGATATAATTTCATATCCATTAGATTGATAGGAATTTTAAGTTAGTATAGAATATAGGAAAATGGAACTTATAAACCCCTGGTGGAAGCACAAATTGGCACATCCCTTAGAGGAATAATTTGTAATATTTAACGAAATAGAATTTGTACATGTCCTGTAATTAAGCAATTCCTAATAATAAGGGTAGTAATGATAATAATGGTCAAAATTCATTGAGATTTAATACGGGCCAGGCAGTTTTCTAAGTTCTTTCTATGTATTAAGTCATTTAATCCTACTAACAATATCATGATAAGTTATTGCCATCACTTTACAATTAAGGAAATTAGAGCACAAGGAAGTTAAGTAACTTACCCAAAGTCACACAACTAGTGTCTGAAATTCAGTCCTGGGTAGTCTGCCTCTAAAGTCCACCCTCTTAACTGTTATGTTGCTCATATTCATTGCAGCACTATTTGTAATAACAAAATATTGGAAACAACATAAATGTTCAACAGTAAGAAATGGATAAATTATGGTATATTCACACACTGAAATGTACAGCCAAAAAACATACGAAAACTACATATATCAACACAATAGACATAAAGCATGATAAAAAAAACAAATTGCAAGGGATATTTAATGTATTGTTCCATACTGTAAATTTTGAAAGCATAGAAAACAAATGCTCAAGTAAAAAAAAAATTTAAACTAGGGATATTATAGGCATGATATATATCACCTTTAGAATGGTAGGTAGTTCTGGGGAAAGAGGAAAGGAAGGAGGTGTAAGAAGCATTCACTATATCTGTAATGTTTTATTTATTTTTAATCTGAAGCAAATACTCATTCAATTATATCAAATGCATTAAGCATATATTATGTGTGAGGCACTTTCCAGGTAATAGAGATTAAGAAAAGGACATGTAGTTTACATTTTAATGGTATACATAGCTAAACATTAATGTGTTAGATCTGGGTGGTGGGCACATGGTTGTCTATAATATTATTCTCTGTATTTTGTTTATATCTTTGTAATACAAATAATTAGGTTTAGGCCAGCATGTCTGGAGTATGGTGCACAAGGGGGAAGAGGGGAAGATGAGATTGAAGAAAGAGCAAAGGGCTAGATCATGTAGCACATTACAGCTCAAGGTAAGCAGTGGGGATTTGAAGTGTACCGAGTAATCATTGCTTTTCTGAGTAATCAAAGCTTTAAGTGGAGGTGTAACTTACTGATTTATACTCTTGCTACCATGAGGCTAGGTGGTGAGAGGCGTGAATGAAAGCAGGGAAGCTATTGTAGTAGTCCAGACAATACAAGTGAACAAGTTAGAGATGTATTTTGGAAGTACAACTAAGAGGCTGATGTGTTGTTTGTGAGGAAAGGAAAGAATCTGGAATGGCTACATGGCTTTTGGTTTGAATGGTTGGCAATTATGTTTATTGAGAAAATGAAGACTTAGGAAAAAACAGACTGGGGAAAGAGTGAGGGAGAATCAAGGGTTCTATTTGGAACAGGTTAATTTTGATTTTTCTGTGAGACATTTAAATGGAGATGCCAGATAGAAACTTGGATATGTGGCTGTGGAGCTTCAGCTGAAGATATAGGGCCATCAGCTGTTATACCTCTATTAGGCAAAAAGAAAAATAAATCTCTGGTGACTCCACCACGTCCTCATCTGGCTTCCATCCCACTTATTTGGTTCCTTTTATAGAAAAACTTCTCTAAAGAGCTGGCCAAATCCTCTGTTTCTACTTAGCCGCTTCTCATTTTTACTTGAACTCTTTTCAGTCAGATTTTATCCCTACCACTCACTGATATAGCTCATTTTAACATCAACAGTGAGTTCTACTTTTTTTCTATCCAAAGGTGAATTCTCAGTCCTTGTTTAGTCAGTCTTTTAGCAGTGTTTAGCATTGTTGATAATTCCTCAAAATTTAATTTCACTTGGATTCCAAATCTGCATGTTCTCCTGGTGTTATTTTTCTTGATTTCTTTTTTATTCTCTCTTCTCTTTGTGATTTCTTTTCTTCTCTCTCTCTTTTTTTTTTTTTTTTTTTTTTTTTTTTTTTTTTTTTTTTTTTTTTTTTTTTTTTTTTTTTTGCCCAGGCTGGAGTGCGATGGCGTGGTTTTGGCTCACTGCAAGCTCCGCCCCCTAGGTTCAAGTGATTCTCCTGCCTTAGCCTCCCAAGTAGCTGGGATTACAGGCACCTGCCACCGCACCCAGCTAATTTTTGTATTTTCAGTAGAGACGGGGTTTCACCATCTTGGCCAGGCTGGTCTTGAACTCCTGATCTCATGATCCACCCATCTTGGCCTCCCAAAGTGCTGGGATTACAGGTGTGAGCCACGGCGCCCAGCCTTTCTTTGTGATTTCTAAGTGCCCCAGGCATAGTCTGTCAACTTCTTTTCTATCTACAT